ATCCCAGCAAGGGGGCTGAGGCCAGGCCCCCTGGGCCCATCGGAGCCCAGGCTGGAGATGTAGCTGGCAGGAGCACATGTGAGCAGGAAGTTGTGTTGTGGGTGCACGATTCTGAATGAAATGCAGGTGCACAGTGTGAATTACCCCCTGGGAGGGACCCTGCAGCCAGGTTTTCTTCTAAACAGATGTCATCATTGGCGAGACGGCAGCAGGCTCTAAAGCAGCGGCCTAGAGGAAGAAGGCAGGGCCCTGGGAGCCCCAGCAGCCGAGGGAGGACGGCCAGGTTTGCGGGTGTGGGGTGGCTGCTCCACAGGCCATCGGAGTCTTTCAAGATTGAATAAGAGATGCATTTTAAGAGAAAAAAAGTGAACATCTCCTTAAATACCAATGCTGTTTGTGGTTGTGATCTCTCTTTCTCAGGTGAATGTGTACGTGCTGGGAAAGACGTTTCTTCTCTTGGCAAGAGAGCTCTGCATCAATGCGCCGGCCATAGGTAGGCATCTGGGTAAGATGGGGTGTCCAGCAGTCTGCTGTAGGGACCAGCGTGACAAATTATCTTTTGAGCAGTAGAGGGAAACCCTAAGTACGGGATCCCTGAAGGTAAGAAATGTCTCCTAAAGCTGCTAGGAGCTGAGGCTCGTTCTGTTGTCCAGGCTGGAGTGCAGTCGCACAATCATAGCTCACTGTAGCCTCAAACTCCTGGCCTCAAGCGATCGTCCTGTCTTGGCCTCCCAAAGCACTGGGATTACAGGCATGAGCTACCACACCTGGCCTGGGGCTTTCTTTCTGCTGCAAAACCAGAAGGCCCATCGTCAGTGCCTGTCAGGTGCGCAGGAGGGAAACAAGTGCTGTGTGCTGGGAGCATCTTGCGTGGACAGGGTTTAAGGAACACACCTGGCACCAGGTGCCTCTGGACAGACAGGGACAGTGGGACAGCTCCTGGACGTGCTTTCCAGCCACAGCCCTCTTTTGTGGTTTTTCTGCCGCTTTTGTTCTGTGTTGAGTGCCCAGTGTGTGCGAGTTTATGGAGCTCCTGTATGCCTTTCTCGACATGTGTTACATGTAAGTCCTGTCTTCCTTCGAGGCAGCAGCAGTGTTCACGTGTGCAGAATCTGACCAAGGGGAAAAGTCTAGAAGGAAAGGATCTGAACAGCATTCACCACCTGATGGTTCCAACTGACCTTTTCTTTCTTTACCAAGTGGATGACTGGTTTCCACGGCCCGCTTAGAGCCCTTTCTTTCTTTACGTGTCTGAATCTAGGAGTGTATGTCCTTGTGGAAGAGAAGCAAGTGGGGCTGGGTGACCAACAGGACTGAGCAGCGTGAGCTGCAGCAGCAGAGAGGCACTCAGCCTAGGCTCTACACTCCGCCCATGCTCTCTCCAAGGTGCTAAGGGGGGTCATCCCTCCTTTCAGGGACCAAACAGGTTTTCCAGAAAGCAGCTGCCTACCGGGGCATGCAGAGTGGGAGGACAGCGGCAAGGGGTGGGAGAGCCTGCTCCACCCCAGTCCACGCCTGCAGCAAGCCGTCCCACAGTAGTGTCCCAGATAGTGACACTGTCCCCAGGGGTCTGGAATGCTGGGCCCAGCAGAATGCTCCCCCTGACAGCCCATTCATAGGGTGGGACTCTGAGGTGCTAGTGATGCATTAGGGCATACAACCAGGCACCTTTTGTTTCCCATGGTGGCCCACAAGCACCAGCGACCCAGGGGGATGGATGGGCTTCGGTGGGGCAAACTTTGCTTCTGACCATATAGCATGTTCAGCATGAAAGGTTTTCTCCTAGGGATGGGTAGGAGCTGTTCTATTGCATGAGAAAGAACACCACACTGTACAACTCCCATACTCACTACTGACACATGGTTGTTATTTTAGACAACCTTTATTACACAAGTCCACTATTTTAGGTGACTTTGCCAATTTTAGATTTAAAGGGAAGGTCTCAAGTTAAGCTTGGAACCACTTAGAATCCAAGAGGGTGGCAGGAACATCCAGCCCCTCAAAGCAGATGGCATGGGATCTTGGGGCCTGTCTTGTGCCCTAAATCTTCCTCCACCTGAGACATGCACCCCGGCACACCAGAGGTGCCTGAGACCCCAATACCCCAGCTCTGGCTGTGTGGAAAAAGGCATCTATTTCCCAGAATCAAGGTTCAGCTGGCTACATACCAAAAACAAAGACTCCCAGGCTCTGGCTGTGTGGAAAGGCGTCTACTTCCAGAATCAAGCTGCAGCTGACTACATGCAGAGACACAAGGTGAAGTGCGGCTTGCATGGTGTCCGGCAGCAGTTAGCATGTGACGGTTCCACTACTCACTCTCTGACCTGCTGCAGCCTCCCTGGGCTCCTCAGGCATAGAAGATGAGCTCAGGGATCTGCCCACCCTGGACCCCTGTCCCGTTGGTGCTGTCCGAGGAGCACTGGAACTGGAAGGCCACCTTTCCACACTGCACTTCCGTCATCCCCTCCTGCCCAAAGTAGCTGAGCTCGCTGCCGTCCAGGACGGCACTGGCCGTGTAGAAGGTGTCTTGTTCAACCTGGACTGGGTGTTCAAACCAGACTGGGAAAGTGTTACTGGATCCGTCCGACATGAACTTGGTCAGGTTCTGAGCCAGAACCACTCCAAGCCGCTTGAGCTCAATCTTCACACTGTACTCAGCCTTCCCAGAGCTGGACCCATACAGGCCCAGCCCTGCAATAAATACTCTTCTGTCCACTGCGAACTGGATGCTGTCACAGCGCCCACGGTACCGCCACTGGTTGCTGCGGTAGGCAGAAGACTGGAAACGATGGCACCTCTGCGGGGCCAGGCCCTTCCTCTTGGTCAGGGGGAAGTCCAGGCGGGGCTTGTTGGTGGCGGTGTACCACAGGAAGATGCTGTGGGTCTCCTCCAGAGTCAGGATGTCTGACTGGGCAGCGCCATTGGCAAACTCCTCTAGGGTCATCGTTGGAATTCGTACCAGATAGAGGGCTCGCCCCAAAACATGCCTCTTGTTTCGTGGGGTGACTGGCAGCCCCTGCCTCTTGCACTCTGCTTCGGCCCAGTTCAGGACGGCCTCGAAGACCACCGCCTCCTTGGTGTTGAGGGCCTCGCGAGTGATGATGATCTCCAGCGTCTGCCGGTCTATCTCGCAGAAGCCTTCGGACCGCAGGGCCATCTCGGCTTGTGCGTCAATGACCTCCCAGCAGCGCTGCGTCAGCTCAGGCTCCTCAAACAGCCGGCTCTGGGACAGCAGGACGCAGGCGTTCTTGGCTTCCAGACTTGTCTCCAGAAAGTTGACGCAGGCTTTTGCCAATGCTGGGACAATGTACTTCTTAGCAGCGTACAGCGTGGCCAACACTGTGTCGGCTTCCAGATCGATCTCATCACTGTACATGTACCTAGGCAAGGCAGGGCCTGGGTCAGGGGCTGGCTCCTGAGCATCCACTGCGGGGCTGGGAGTGGGTAAGGAGCCCATCAGCTCCTGCAGGGTCCCCCTCAGAAGCCACGGGAGGCTGCCTAGAACGACCCATCCGTCATTCCCCAGCACAGAGTGGACTTACTTTAACAGGATCAGAAAGGCTGCAGGCTCCACGTCTGGAATGTGAATTTCAGATTTGACTTCCGCCAGGTCCCCGTAGAACATGGCATAGAAGACTGAGCTGCCAACAGCCAGGACGTACTGGGAGGAAAAAGCGCCGCCGTGAGCCTGGCTGTCCCGCAGGCTGCAAAGCAGCCACACGGCGGGCGGGGCACGCGTTCCGAGAGGGGCCGCCGCTACCTACCTTGTGGGCGGGCACCGTCCTGGTCGCCCCCGGGGGCCCCACGACGAAGTGCACGTCGGCCATGAGCTCGTTGTTGAACATGAGCGCGTTCCTGCAAAGGTAGAGGCATGGGCTGGGGGCGCGCGCGCGGAGCGCGCGGGGACCGCGGGGGGCGGGCTCACCTCTCGCGCAGCGTGGGGCGGCAGCACCGCCAGCCGGGGCTCTCCGGGTGGTTGTTGCCAAGTGTGGGCGGCGCGGGCGCGGGCGGCGGCGGCGCGGGCGCGGGGGCGCTGGGCGGGCTGCGCGGCCCGGCCTTCCTGCCCGTGGTGGCGCCCGCGTTGCTGTTGGCGAGGTCCGCGGCCGTCGTGCCGGCGGGGGTGTAGAGCTCCGCCGCCATCTTCGCGGGCGGGGCGGCGGGGGCGGCCTCGGCGCCTGTGGACGCCGCGCCCCGCGCCCTCGCGCCGCGCCGGGACCTCGGGAGCGGCTCTGCAAGCAAAAGCAGGGAGGTCAGGCACTGAGCGACGCGGCCGTGCAGGCAGGCCAGGGGCAGCAGCATGGGCGGCGGCGCTGCGACCCGCAGGACTGCCACCCGCGCCCCTGCCACACCCCCGCCCCTGCGACCCTGCCCGAGCCCAGCCTAGCGCAGCCCGGCCAGGCCCGGCCGCAGGGGGCGCCGTCCGGCCCGCCCGAGCTCGTACCCGCCGCGGCGCCGGCGCGTCAGGCTGCGTCACGGCGCGTCACGCTGCGTCAGGGCCGTGCCTCGGGCGACGACGCTGCCGCGCGGTCCCGCCTCCAAGCCCCGCCGCCTCGAAACCGCTAACGCTTCTGTCCCGCAAACGGCGCGAGCCGCGCGCTGTGTACAGGCCGCCGCGGAAGGCGGCTCCCGGCGCTGGCAGGCTGCCCGCGCGCTGTCAGCCCCGCGGTGCCGTGCCCCGGAGCTTGCGCCCGCCGGTTCTTCAGCTCGCGGTGCTTTAGGAACGCAGGTGGACCTACCTGTCCGTGGCTTTGGCCATTTGCCTTCTGGAGTCTGTGCCTCTGGCCACGGCCTGTCGTATGGTCGGTGGGCGTCCTCGTTCGTACAGACGCCTCGCGATTTTGCCCATTGCGGACGCCAGCAGCAAACGCTCGCAGACAGCGTGGTCCATCCAGGCCTGCTGCTATTTTCCTCAAGAAAACGGGCACAGAGAGGTTGGTCGCGTGCTGAAGGTCGCACAGCTTGCGGGAGGGCAAGTCAGGATCTGGCCCCGGGGCGCGCCCCGCCTCCGTGGTTCTGCCTGTGGATCACAGTCGCAGCTCGCTCCCTGTGTGGCCTCTGGGCTCGCAGGCTGGGGCTAAACCTGGGAGGTGCTTGGCACTGGCTTTGCGGATGAGACCAAACTTCAGAGGCGGTGTCATCTGGCCCGGCCGCGCAGCTGGTGCACGCCGAGCTCACGTGCAGACGAAGCTCTAGAGGCCTGGCTGTCAGGAGGGTTCCTTCCTGAAGACACACACGCAACCTCCTGGACCTCAGGATTCAGACTTAAAACTTCCGTATACAGGAAACCCCACAGGATGCAGCCAGCAGCTCGGGTCAGTGGGCGCACCCATCGCCCTGGTCCTGGGCTAAACAGTGAACAGGAACTCTGTGGCTCGGCGGTGGTTTCAGTTGTAGTAAATGATCCCTGGGAGAATCCCCTTCAGAAGATATTTGGTGCATTTTCAACAAAGGACTCTTCAGGATAGATGAGCGACTATAAGTCAGGAAGGAAAAAGGTTGACAACCCAGTTTAAAAAAAAAAAAACTGGTAAAGGACATGTACAGACACTATGCAGTGGCCCAAAGTGCACACGTCATCAGTTCTCCAGGGAATGGGGCACCGGGCCCCTAGGCTGCTGAGCTTGAGACTTGTAATGCCAGTGTTGGTGGAACGAGGAGCCGCTGGACATCACCTGCTGCAGTTGGGAGTTTGTAACTCGGCACAACTAAGCCGTTTGGAAAGCTGCAGCTGCACGAGGGCCCAGAAGGTCCCAAGAGAAAGTGTGTAGATGCACCTGCCAAGGACACACCCGCAGAGGCCACAGCTGCGATTTCTTAGTGTGGGACCTCACTGGCAAAGACAGGTTGGCTGCTGTGGTTTCCATCCCAGCCATCTGTCTCCATAGAAAAAGGTAACAGCATAAGCAATTTCCAGGAGAAATACATGTGGCCGGAGTGGAGATAGTCCACATGTCCATCAGCAACAGAAAGGATCAACAGGTTGTGGTGGATCCATAATGCAGTGAGAAGGAATAACTTACAGCTACATGCAAGACCTGGGTGACGGCTGTCTCAGAGGGGGTGCCAGGATGGAACTGCTGAGCCCTCAGAGGGAGTCAATGTCTTGATCTGCGTAGTGGTGTGGGGTGTGTGAATAATAATTCTCATCCTTAGAAAAAAGCCATCCTTTGCACTTTGATTTTTAAATATATTACAGTGTTGGCTGGGTGTGGTGGCTCATGCCTGTAATTCCGCACTTTGGGAGGCCGAGGTGTGCGGATCACCTGAGATCAGGAGTTCGAGACCAGTCTGGCCAACGTGGTGAAACCCCACCTCTACTAAAAATACAAAAATTAGCTGGGCGTGGTAGGTGCCTGTAATCCCAGCTACTAGGGAGGCCAGGGCGGGAGAATGGTTTGACCCAGGGAGGTGGAGGTTCAGCCTGGGTGACAGAGTGAGATGCCATTGGCCAGGCTGGTTTTGAACGTCTGGCCTCAAGTAATCTACCTGCCTAGGCTTCCCATAGTGCTGGGATTACAGGTGTGAGCCACTGCACCCAGCCTATCGTTTTCTTCTTTGTTTTTGGTATAAAATAGTGTCATGTAGTTTTGATTTGCATGTTCCTGGTAAATACTAATGATGAGCATTTTCTTGTGCTTGTTGGCCATTTGCATATCATGTTTGGACAAACGTCTGTTCAAGTGCTTTTTTTTTTTTTCTTTTTTGAGACAGAGTCTCGCTCTGTTGCCCAGGCTGGAGTGCAGTGGTTACGGGTCACTGCAACCTCTGCTGTCCAGGTTCAAGCGATTCTCGTGCCTGAGCCACTCTTAAGAGCTGGGATTACAAAAGCGTGATTTGCCCGTTTTCTAATTGGTTTTGTTCCTGAGTTGTAGGAGTTTTTTGTTGTTGTTATAAGATGGGGTTTCACCATGATGACCAGACTGGTCTTGAACTCGTGACCTCAGGCGATCCACCCACCTCGGCCTCCCAAAGTGCTAGGATTACAGGTGTGAGCCACCGCACCCGGCTCGAGTTTTTTGTATTTTCAGGATAACCCCCTATGAGATAGATGGCTTGCACATATTCTCTCCCATTCCGTAGGAGATCTTTTCTGTTAAGGGATTCTTTTGCTGTGCAGAAACGTTTTAGTTTGAGGGCATCCGTTTGTCTATTTTTACTTTGGTTGCCCTTGCTCTTAGTGTCATGTTTGAGAAATCATTGCCAAGATCAGTGTCACAGAGTTTTTCCCTATGTTTTCTTCTAAGGGTTTTATAGTTTGGAGTCTGCATTCGGGTCTTTGATGGGTTTTGAGTTAGTTTTTGTGTGTGATGTGAGGGTGTCTTTATTCCTTTGCGTGTGGATATCCAGTTTGCCCAGCGCTGCTTACCGAAGAACCAGCCTGTCCCCCTCTTGTGTTCTTGTCACTCTCGTTGAATGTCCCCTGCCCGTCCATATCATTTCTGGTCCTGTTCTGCTGGTCTGTGGGTCTCTCTTTATGTCAGCACCATACTAGCTGTTAGGCTTTTTAGTTGTTTTCTTGATAGTGGTAATTTCTTTCTTTCTTTTTTTAATTAGTCCCTTTGCCTACTTTAAATAATTTCGTTAATTTTTAGTTTTCTGTTATTTGACATAGTTCATTATTTTCATTGCTTCCTTAATTTTTTTTTTTTTTTCAGATGGAGTTTCGCTCTGTTGCCCAGGCTGGAGTGCAGTGGCACGGTAACCTCTGCCTCCCAGGTTCAAGCGATTCTCCTGTCTCAGCCTCCCAAGTAGTTGGAATGACAGGCTCATGCCGCCATGCCAGGCTGAATTTTTGCATTTTTTGGTGAGATGGGGTTTCACCGTGTTGCCCAGGCAGGTCTCTAACTCCTGAGTTCAGGCAGTCCACCCGCCTCGGCCTCCCAAAGTGCTGGGACTACAGGCGTGGGCCACCATGCCTGGCCCATTCATTGCTTCCCTAATTGTACAAAGCACTTAATAAAAGTTACCTGAAGCATTGTACTTTAATTTCCAATAGTGTTTGGAGGTCAGGGGACTGTTTGTTTTTGCTTATTTTTAGTTTTTTTGCATGTAGGGTCAAAGGGCATGTCATATGTGCTGTTACCTGGAGTATATTGAAGGTTTCTTGGTTCTGGTCATTTTCCTAACTGTCCCACAGACACTGGGAAAGCATGGTGACCCCATGGGGGCTTCGGAACATGCTTGTCAGGTTGAGCCTGTGGTGATGTGTCTGAGTCTTCCCTTAGACTTCGTTTCCTAATCAGTCTGTCACATTGGAGAGAACCGTGTTGAAGTCTCCCATTTGTGGTTTTGAAGGTTGTTTCCGGTGCTTTTCCTTCACTGAACTCTCTCTGTGTCACTGTGCGCCTGCAGAGTCGAGGCTGCTTACAGTTGTCTCCTTTCCATCGTGAAATGCTCATGCCTGTCTGTGCTGTTCTGCCGCTCCACGTTGGCCCACAGCGCCGCCGCTGCCCGGTGCCACCCACACCACCCTAGTCATTGACATATTTGTCTTGAAGAAACACTTTTTGTCTTGTTTGTTTTTTTGTTTTGAGACAAGGTCTTAGTCACCCAGGCTAGAGTGCAGTGGCACAGTCATGGCTCACTGCAGCCTCGACCTCCTCGACTCAAGAAATCCTCCCTCCTCAGCCTCCCAAGTAGCTGAGACGACAAGTATACATCACTACATTAGGCTAAATTTTTCATTTTTTGTAAAGATGGGGGTCTCACTGTATTGCTTAGGCTGGTCTCAAGCTCCTGGGCTCAAGTGATCCTCCTGCTTTGGCTTCTCAAAGTTCTGGGACTCACCAGTGTGAGCCATTGCATCTGGCCCCAGATTGATTGATT